CGAGCGGGCTAAACTTTTAAGCTCGCGCCCGCGCGCGAGCCGCGAATCAGAGATTTAAGCCTGTACTCGCGAGCTTGTGCAAGGTCTATGCTCCAGTACAAAAACCAGGAGAAGCTCGTCCGGTGTTGTGAGCATGGAAGGACTAAGCAGACTCAGGACGAGAGAGAGGATGGGACATGAGAGGATAGGAGACACGCGTGCCACGCCTACCACGTGTGCCACGCACACCACGCGCACCCTCTCAAAACTCAGGATGAACTGTAGCCTCTTCTCTTTTCTTTTTTCCTCTCCAGCCTTTGAGATTCTTGATACCACGCAGCCAAATTGAATGAAAGTTTATGAGTCCTTCTGAAGCTTTTCCATTGCAGCGTACAACATCCGGCGTCTCAATTTCTTTTATAGTTGATCGAAAGTTATTCACTGCAAATATCAATCCAGCTGTTGAAGTTACGCCCTCGACACCAAGCACGGGAGGGCAAGACCAGTACGCAAACGAAATACTGTAATATCGTGATTGGAATTTCTGATCCTGTATAATCGATGTATCCGATAAATATACCATGGAAGAGCCTGCGAGCTCTTTCAACCGAGCGTACATTGAATCGAAAGAGATCAAGGATGACGAAATTTGTTCATTGGCCCATAACTCACGGAGGATACCTTGACAATCATTTAATTGGTATGATAAACAGCAGCACTTAGAAATGCCTCTACGCCGTTCCATGCCATAACAGACACTTCTAGGATTCAAAACCCGAGTACTGAAACACCATCGACGTACTGGAACAGATAAACCATTCTCAAAAACACAGAGTATGAATCCCGTGGTTCAGAGTTCTACTTAGTGGCGAGTGTCTAGGGCGTCGCACTGATTGTGCGGCCCCGTCAAGTCTTATAATGATATTACATCTCTGGCTCGATACGTCATAGATATGACTTTTGAGTGGTGAGCTATATATTAGCTCTGGCATTCAGATCACCCTCTTGGTGATTTCATTACCCGGTGCAAGAACGGAGTAAGATCACCGCGAAGCTTATTGAGCTCCTTACACTAAGGTACATAATGACCACCGTCGTAGTAGTAGGCCTGTGCGTCTTCACAACTCTCTATGAGATCGATCGCCCGACCCGAGCAGATCACTGCATCTGAACGCCCGATCGTGTGAAGGGTGGGCGACATAACTTTCGACGAGTCGAAAGTCTCTGTAACTTGTGTGCTCCAGTCTGAATCCACTGAGGCATACCGCAAATTGAAGTTGCGGATGGTTGATGTAGGATTCGCTTGTTACCTCCGCGTCGATTAATCTCAACTGAAAAGACGTACCTAAGGAAATGGGTCGCGGTCAGAATTTGCTTTTTCAGACGGCTGTTCTAGTAGCGACGTAACAATCGCAGTCATAGCGGTACCAGAGGAGGATCCGACTATACCACTAAAAGGGCCCTTTACTTCTAGCGTTTACCGAGCGCATGCTAAGGAAACTTCTAGCCCTCGGATCTCATCAGATTCGGGGTCGCCATGCCCCCAAACCCAATGATCTATAACATGGGTGTCGCGGAAGACTTTCCAGGGCGCAGACAGGTAAACAAACTCCACTTCCTTCATTACACAGCGCCGGATCTCTTCCACCGTGAAGTAATTTAGATTCAAAGATCTTAGCAGACTGACCGTGTCCTACTCCTTCTGTTAGTCGATGAAACAAAATACTATCTTGGGTAATGTTCCTTGTCGTGGAGTATTAGAAGTTTCTGGTTCATTTTGGGTTTTCTAGCCTTTCGAGTCCAAATCTCTGGGGAAGTGCTTCTTCATGAGTGGGGGCAACGAACCAACCGGTTTATATGGCACTTGCCCCCAATTAGGCTGTATGTAATCGTAAGTAGTACAGGCACTCACTCATACTTCGTCAAAAGTAGTAGTTTCGCCCCGCCTGTCTTGTGGCTTAGGTCCGTGCTCCCACTTCCTCGCAGAGAAATTTTGTGGGCCACCCAATCAGCGTGCTGTTGACTGCGAAAGAAGGATGGCGGACCATCTTGACCGGGAAATTTGAGAGTTCCGTCCATTTTCCCAACCTGACGAGCGGGGTTATCACCTAGAGCGTTAGGTCACCGGGGTTAGAGGGTGGCCCTCCTTAAGGAATCCAACGCCGCTAGGACGGGAGCGTCTAGAGAATATCGATGCGCTTACAGAAATTCATCATGTCATTGATGAAGTTGGCGGTAGAAGATTGCGCGGAACAGATTCGAACGGGCAGTCTGGTTGTAAAAGACCACGAGCAAGGGTCTACCCACCGCTACCCGGGCGCAAAGGGACCATGGAAGACTGGTTTCTGTCTCGTCAAGGTCGCGGAAAGCGGGGCAGAACGTGATATATTATCAGGTAAAGTACCCGTATGCTTCAAAACTCAGCCCTCTATCTCATTGGAAGGAAGTAAGACATAATCTGCTGATTAGTCGTAGGGTGAAGTTGCTGATTCCGAAGTGGCAATTGCACTTAAATCTGGATTCACGACACACCGGTCGGAGCGCCCATTCGCCCGAAATGGATCTGGTACAAGTGTTACAAGTGTCGAGATAGGAGTGGAGACAAGAAGGGAGATCCTAAATAAGGGAAACCATGGGGACAGCAAAAGATCCCTCTCTCTTGGAGCTAGGACCCTGGAGACGGAACGTCAGTTGGTCCATCCCTCGCTCATGGGTCATATCACCACAACTAAAACAATTGGTCCCATGCTGGCTAGTAGGTCGAGTATGATCACCCGGTCGCCCCATCTGGTATCCGCCACCTGCGGATAGCAGCCCCGCTGCTACCTCCTTGTCGCCTTTTTCCTTTTCATCTTTTTAAGCCCCCAAAAAGGGCCATTCGAGTGGTATGGTTTCGGCTGCCCCGTGTGCTTCTTTTCACCTTTTTTTTTACTTTTAAATCTCGGGAAACCTGCGGTTCGCGGGATATTAAGAGACGAGAGATATCTCCAGAAATGAGCGACGTGGACTACCGGGTCACTCTCGATAAGGGGCGAAGATTCAGCCTCGGTATAAATGATAAACGGACAGATAGGTTGGCCAAAAGAACCGCGGCGGGGTACAAGTAATGTTGCAACGTGCAACTGTGAGAAAAGCCAAGCCCGTCGCATGCGTCCAAGTAGCTGTAACCGAGATGATGATCCACAACCTGGCCGCCCGTTGCCGGCAGATCACCAAAAGTTGTTTGCTTACCTAAGGGCCAAAGGGAGATGGCCAACTACCTCCGCTCCACACTTCAGTCTAGGCACCTACCTCTTGGGTGCCTTTGCCTCTGGGAGCTGGTCATGAAATCGAGCGAGGCCCACACATGTGTGATGGGCTGCAGCCCCACAGGCTTTCGGCGGCTATACGGGGGGCCAAAAGGGGGCCATTCCGCCTAATGCCCTTATGTAACGGCGCTAAAGATCACCAAATCTGACCGGCCAACATCCCAAACTCTGTGATCAAAAACGGCCCTCCCCTTCTCTTGTTCCTTGTCCGCGTTAGCCGTAATGCATTAGCAAGGATATTTCACGGGCAGAGACCTCCAGAGAAATGCGCTAGTCCAGGCTTCTATGTATGGCTTTTCAGCGCCATTCCCACCTCTACTAGTCAGGGGCCTCAGAGTCAAGGATTAGCGCCCAAAACCAGGAAATTTGATCTCGTTTACGTGGCCACAGGTGTACGAAAGTCAAGCCAGCGAGTCCTACAGGCAGGCAATTCATTGGATGTGATTTTTTATTTGTTTAAGTTTTGGCTATAGTTGTACAAGTAGTTTTAGTGAAAGTAGTACTAGGCCTGATACTCTCTCTTCCATATTATTCTATTAGTAGTTTGTGGAACTGGATAACCTGGCTCCCTTTTTCCCCTTTGAGTACGTCTTCATTCATATGAGACTGCAGAATTATCTGGGTGATCGCAGAGTCTTGAGTCTGTGGAATACTAGTCATTTTTGCACAGGGACGAAACGTACAGGAGAGACCTCCGAAAGATGATCGAATCGCCATTTATGAATCTTATCGGTGGCCAGGATCGGGTACATAAGTTAAGCCATGACCAAAAAGGAAGAGCTGTTTATGGACATAGAAGGGGAGCATAATTCAAAAACCTCACGTAGTCCAAAATGAGTTTTATGAATTAAAGCACATAGCCCGAAGATGAATTATGTTCATTGTGAAAGAAAGTCAGTCAAATTTAAAAATTGAAACATCTGTACTGAAAATTGGAACTGACTGATGTGACGATTGATCTCTTCGTACGCGACGTAACCGCTGTCTCGGCATGTTTGATGTTTACGAGTTGTACGCAACTGCGAATCTAGACGGCAGGGCGCCTAGGATGCTGTAGTTCTTGCTAGTGGGTGTTACGTGCCAGGGAGTTAAAAGTCAACTTGCGCATTCCACGAAGGTAAGAAAGAAAGCCTGAAGAGAAAAAAGACAGAGAAATCTAATCTGCAGAAGACAGTGAGGTGATGAGGCAACTGGAACATGCCCTCATCCCAACTTCCCTTGCCATGCAGTCGTTTAGTCGCGTGGTTATGGTACCCCTCTTGTTACTAATTTCCCTTGCAGAAGAAATCATAATCCGCCACTTCGTAACAGTGGGCTATAATCTCTACATTCACTATTTCCCCTCTGAAACGCCGAAGGCAAATGGCGGGACATCTGCTCTCCTTGATATCGTTGTAGAATGTCTATTTAACACACGACTTTTAACCTTAAAATTGGGCCCTGCTACGCTCTTTTCCATCGATTGACCTCGTTCACATATATAGCTGTTGCCTCAAGGGCGGAGAGAAGAAGATACGAGTTGAGCTTTGGTTTCTACAGTGTGACCAACAAATTAATGGAGTTGTGATTTTGAGAATATTGTGCGCATTTCATATAGCTTATTGAGATGGGCCTAAGAATAGTACGGATCTCGAAAGTCTATAAAAGAAGCCATAGTACCATTAAAACCCCATGAATCTCCAAATAGAAACATTCCTTCATCAATCTTCTAACATGCCAAGCTCTCGCTACGACCTCAGAAATTTGGGACCATCACCTTCTATAGCCCAAAGATCAAAGAGTAAAACGCCAAGCTCCGACATCATTGCGCAAAATGATGCAGACGAAACAATGTCAATGATTTCGCTTCAAGTGCTTCGCGAACTATCAAATACCCAAACCTTCTATGCTCTGAAAGACTTGCAAAGGTTCACGATAGCGTGTGGCGAGGCGACCAAGATCTTAAATGCAGCACTGGAAGAGTTGGCCTTCAAGCTTTCTGAAACCCTGGACTCGGCTAGTCTTATGAAACCGCTCCAAGAAATGGAATGAACGTCTTCGCCGATAGTTCTGTCGCCAGATGTATAAGGATCGCGTATTCTTACCGGACTACTTCCCTATTTCTTGATACCTGTTTGCATGGCATGTGATTCTGCCACTCACCACAGTCCATAGCTTAGGTAGAATCTCTCCCCCTCAGCAATCTCACTCCTCATCCTCCTCACACATCGATATTGCTGCCCCTACCGTAGCCGTATCTCATCAATACCGCTCGAGATAGTCTAGGAAGACGTTTTTAATTGCAAAACATATTACGTGAGACCTCTTGGTCACATGAGATTGACAAGACAGGGCTAGTATGCCAAAACGGAAGAAGAACATATTGTAATATAAGACCCTTTTCAAGAACTATACAGCGAGTTGGCGGCCTGCCTTACCACGATTTTAAATATGATCGCCGTACAAATTTGTTCTTCCCTTGCTCTTCGTCTTTCGTTTCCCTGTGCCTATTTGAAAATTGACCCGGCCCGTAGCTATAAGATTGAAGATGATCTAGTACCGTAGTGAAGTTATTTGATAAAGTGACGGTAAAAGTCTGACATAATTCCACGCAACTTGTCCGTCCCCAGCAAGCCACCGAGCCGGGCTTTAATGCTTCAGTAACAACAACGCAAGGCTTGTGCATTCCTAGATAGCCACTACAATGGCAAGCCATTTCCTGTTCCGAAATAACCCACGAGAACGTTTCAAATCAATAGTACATAGCGTTTGTATTGTTGTTTTGGTACGAAAAAAAAGATAAATGAGGTCTCTAGACAAGTAGGCTGCATAGCCTGTGTTGATCGAATGATTGAAGGGGGCGAAGCCGATGAGTTGAATCATAGTTGTGAGCAGTTCCGTGGGAAGTGTAGGTATATAGCGTTCCAGTGCATGAAACTTGTCTCGGCCTTTTGCTAGCCATGGTGAGCACCCTTTGCAATTAAACGATCCAGCAACGCTATATCGAATCTGAGAGAGGGAGTTGTCTATGGGTACAGTACTGTATTAGTATCCATTCGTTCCGCGGCAGGGATCCAGAAGAGTCCGAAACTCCTCCACGGCCCTCACACGGCCCGAGTACTGTACCGCACATGAGACCCGAAGTAATATTACTGCATTGCCATCAATACCCGATTGATGCCCATTTGAGATCAAACCCCCCCCCCGCCCTCAACATCTCCGCTGCCAAAACGAGTGTAAAAATCCTCTCAAACTTATAATCAAAACTTAAGTCTTCGCCAGTCGCGATGCCACGATATTTCATTCGTCCTTGGAATGAGCATGGCTTCAAACTCGACTCGCCACAGCAAAAACGATGTTAAGAAAAAATCTCGCGTTTCATCTCTATCTCATCAACCTAAACCAAGCACCCAGACGGGTTCGCTGTGGAGTATCCCTGTGGAGGGCGTTCTGCGGGGGTTTCCATACAGTACCTGTATACAGACAAAAACCCTTCACGATACACCCCATCATTAGTTCCTTCACAAAGGGAATGTGGCACGTAAACCTGAAGAGGATGGGTGTTTCCCACAGAGACAGAGAGACAGAGATCAAAATCCTTTCAAGCATCAGATCAGACACAACGCTCCAATGTCTATCATGACCTTGGGAATACCCCTGCAGAAAATGTTTGTACGGAGATACATACTGGTGTTGATGTAACCAGTGGTAATGGGTTCCGGTAGGTCTATAAACTGTATATTAAATGATCAATGCTTGATAATACGTCTTGGTCTCACCCGAATAAGGCATCATGCCTTAATGCCTTAATGCCTCACAGATACCTGCAATATAACTGCAGAAAGTCTCATGAAATTGGAGCAATACCATTGGAAATGTTTATGTCAACCTACTTCTTTCATTACTGTATACTAATCGGGCAAAAGTGAGATATGCCGGACTCCTGTGACGCCCGTGCGATTAGACTTTACTGGACTAAACATACACTTGACCAACAAACTACAGCTTATACCGGTAAGAGGCCACGCCTCTTTTTGGATACTACCACTGCTACTCTGTAGCTACTTGTTGCTCTCAGAAATAAGTTACTACAATATCGGATCCAAGATCCGTCCAGGGCTATCCGCAGCACCACGGGCTTTACGTTGGTCGGACCGAACTCAAGAGGAAGCTCGATCAAGCCCTTCAGCAAGCCGCCTTTCCCTTAAGCTTCTATACAGACCCTCGTGTTTTGAGAAATCAATAATTCAGATGTCTTCTTTCTTAATCAAACGCTGAAGCAAGATTCAGTTCAAGGTAAAGAAGCCACAAGTAGTTGACCAAAGACTAGAGTGATAAGGAAAAGAATACGGGGGAGATAGCAGCGGGGAAGAACAAGTGATCACTTGGGACGAGCTGCTGATGGATAAGACCAGGTCATAAAGCTGCAAGACAGAATCAAGGTTCCCTTCTCAGTTCTTGAAAAGGTATCAGCGCTTTGTACCACTATGTAAAGGATGAGATGACATTTCAAGTCAGAAAATTATGGATTGGCTTCTTCCATTTATCCCATCATATTGATTGAAAAGCGTTTGCCAGTCGTCAGGAGTGTAAAGTGTGCCAAGGTATCACTTGCTGGCTGTGAAATGGTGCATTCATTAAACCAAACATCTGTTTTCTCCTTCAAAAATTCAACAATGCGTGGGGCCAGCTCAGCCTCATCAAAGTTGACAGCAACAGTTGTCAAGTGGGCATCGCTATCGTCAAAGAAAAGACTTTGAGCGCCAGCAATACTACTGATCTCTCGCTGCCATATCTCGAGAGTGCTTCTCTTGATCCCCGGCGACACCCAGGCGAAATCGATAATACGTGACTCGTATCCACGAATGCACTTTGTCCGGAATCCGGACAATCTCTGTGCATCTGCGAGGTTTCGCTGTGCAGCTTCCAATAGTATTCCCATTCTTGATGAGGAATGTCGTGAAATTTTTCAAAAGATATTGACAGAAAAAGGATCCACCTTTCGGAGTCGTATGGCGCTATCGAGACCAGTGCCCAAGGAAAAGGAAAACGACTTCCTTTTGAAGCATTTCGAGAGGAACGATCGCCACCTTCTATCTTTTGAGGAGCGCTGAACATGCACAACTTTGACAATTGTTAGCTAACAAGTCGTTCTAATCATGCTTGGGTGACAAAATAAATCCATAAAGAAAGCCATGACAGGCATTTCTCGATACATGTTTGATCTATTTGATACAGAAGTCTCGTCAAGTAGCTCACTTTTGCTCTCGCCGCGTACATACACTTAACAGTGAACTTGGATCGGGTTGATTCTGTCATCCGGGGACGGTCACAACTCGGTTTTTATCGGACGCACTACATGCGCATGGCTGGCGGTCTAAATTTCTGGGATGCTGAGGTGGAACTACAACTCTTTCATTGCCTTTGGCAGCTAAGCGACACAAGTCTCACGGCATCTCTGATATCACGTTGAAAATCACCTATTGTGAAAGTTAGGAAATAGGCAAATACCGCAAGGGCCTAGGCTTAGGCCTTCGCTCCTATCTTCGCAACTCTCACGACTCGCAGAAGTCGACTCAGATCACATAATGCCAGCAGTCCTCGGCCAGGTTCCCCATCTATAGACCGGAAATCTTAGAAACGATTGAGTAGTAAAAACAAGAAAGAATAAGTTAGTAAGGGCCTGAACAAGTCAGCAAAGATATTTACCTGCCTATGCAATAAGTGTAGAAGTGATTGTCTTGTGATATACAGTAAACCCGAAGATATCTAGGAACGGTAAAGCACGGAATCAAATAATACTCTTTCGTTTGTTATGCTCTTTTTGCCGTTATGAGTTCCCTGGAAACTCAGTACGAAGACATTGTCAGCGAAAGTATCTGCCTTGTCGGCGGCTTTTTAGCGGTCATGATGCAAATTGCGCAGATAGCCAACGGAGTGGCTAGCCATAGCGCGTTCAGACATAACCTACGAGGAAGACACAACTGAGATCTCCAGACGGGTGGGCCGGGTTCATAGAATGATCCAAGGGGGCGGAGCGGATGGATCATACAGCGCGACTGACCCGGACTTACAAAAATGGGTGGCTAGGACCATATATTGGGAAATGATTGGGATGTACGAAAGAGCCTTTGGCAAACTCTCTTTGGAGGCGTCCGATTATGCATACCAGAGATTTACAAAGTTAGGAACTGTACTGGACATGAACTACTACATGTGGCCGAGTAGTAGGGCTGCTTTCTGCTCATGGTGGGATGAACAATGCGAGTCGCTGAAGTACTCTGAACAGTTCAATGTTCTTCAGAGCAATCTTCTCAAGGTACACAGGGTCATCGGATGGCCGGTCAAGCCCCTATTCGTTGTTGGAATGCCGTTCTTTCGAGCCTTTATAGTATCTAATCTACCATCAGTGGTCTGCGAGAGATTCGGGCTACGACCAACTGTTTGCTCGCGAATACTCAACGCTTTCACGGAATTCCTCATCCATTCGATATATTCCCGGTTGCCCTCAAGACTAAAACGCGGCCCATGCCGCTACATGATTGATGAGATACGACTACGGTAGGGGCAGTAGTATCGATGTGTGAGAGGGATGAGGAGTGAGATTGCTGAGGGGGAGAGATTCTACCTAAGCTATGGACTGTGGTGAGTGGCAGAATCACATGTCATGCAAACAATCATCAGTCAGCATTTGTCAGGAAATCGCTTGAAAGCACTGAAATCGGCATATTTTACCCACCGGCTTTATGAAAGTCGTGATGCTCGAGCATTTTCAACTCTACCAGATAGGTGCGGGCTAGACCAAGCCGTCTGAGATGCCATTCAAGGAGGTTGTGAACTGTCCAATTTAAACAGACATCGGTATGGCATAAGTCGCCCAGTACTTCTATAGCACCCTCCTATCTGCAAATCCCCCCCCCGTTCCCTCCCACCCGGTTTACACGTGCTTTGAACCTACCATGTTCTATTCTAGTGTCTGCATCATTTTCTCAGCTCTGTGAGGTTTAGTACACTCGAGGTAATTGTGTTTTACCGTTAACGCGCCACTTTTTATACCCTTTTCTCAGCAGTCACCGGGAAATTTGAATTATAGGACCAGGAAATCACGCTATTTGATTCGATTCATTTGTTGTCTTTGCATTCTTTGCGTTTTCCGGGGTGTGATACACCGCCCTTTCCGACCGTTACTTAAGTATAGAACCGTTCTCTTAAAAGCAAATGTTGTCACGGCGCAGGCCATATATGGTGATGGGATACGATTCACAGTCGAATCTTCCCTGCGTCGTCCAAGGGCAAGAACCATAAGGGCACCATGTGGAGATGGCGGGATTCGATACGCGGGATGTTGATGTATTATATATTGCGGGAACTGGTGGAGTCTCTACTAGAGCTTCAAGATTCAGTCTTTGAAATCAGACCCCATAGACTTGGACCCCCTAACAATCTCTCTACGAACGCCTACACCACTAAACAGCCAGCCAGGCAGCAGATCAAGCCAAAAGCGCCAAAACGCCTAGAACCGTGGTTCAGCTTTAAAAGCCAGCGTCAATGCTTAGAGATCTACTCAAGCAGCGCTTGAATAGCCCTCCGAGCCCATCGAAAGCGATCCTTGACCAGATTATTAAGGGCCACTCTATCGCGTTACACCATACCGCGCTACCAGCGCAAGAGAACGCTGATCTACGCGCTGCAATTGAGAAGGTTGTCAAGAAGCGCAAACGATCAACTAGGCAGATATCCTGCGATGAAGGCTTAACCGTTCAAGAGGGCCTACAGCTAGCTCAGCAGCTACATCAGTCAGTTGAAGCGGGTAAGGTAGTATCGCATACGCAAGACGAATTGTGTTACGGAAGCGTTCTGGGCGGACACTAACCAACAAGACTGTTGTACGCCAGTTAGGAAAAGCTTTAGAAGGACTCATAAACTCTTATTCAACTGTCTGCGTGGTGTTCAAGGATCTCAAGAGCTGGAGGGGAAAAAGAGAAAGAAGAAGAAGCTACAGTATATCCCAAGTTTTTGAGGTGGTGCGCGTGGTTAACGGTATCTCCCTTCCGATACTGATTTCTTCTGTAGAAGAAATCGAAGTTCGCAATCCGAGTCCGCTAACTCCCGTCAACTCGTAACAGTACGCGTGGCACACGTGGTGAGTGTGTCCCTGCCCTCCGAGACTGATTTCTTCCGCAGAAGAAATCCAAGGCCGTAATCCTCTCATTCAACAAAGACCATAAAGATCACTAATATCCGCAGTTGCGGATACTGCCCAGAGTCCGGTATATATAGCATGGTATCGCAGTATTGTTCGGCCACGCCGTAACAACTGTGGCCAATAACGATTAGTAGCCGAAATCGGCCTCGTACGCGCGAATTTGTTGACGGGATAAATAGCTTTCGTAGCCAACGTAGGCCAATCTCATCGGTAGTCCAGCCATTATTCGAGACCTCAAATCGCCAATCTTGCGGTAGATTATCAAAACAACCAGCGATTGCAACTTTGCCTTTAAAGATCACACACGGCGGCATCGAATAGCTATTAGCGCAAATTGCTTCGATTATAGTAACCCATTCGCGATTTCCTGGTTGTAGTATCGATCGCCGACCGTAGTATTCAGCTCGCGTAACCACCTTCTGTGTAGATATAGGACCTATTGCGAATCCTGTCTCATCAAAGTTGTACATATCCTCCGGTTGAATACCGTTCTCATCGATCACGCGTTGTACGGTCGCGAACCACGCTCGTAGCGATTTTGGGTCTTCGTTTCGAAGGTTTAGTGCACGCTGGTAATCGTAACGACTAGAAAAGTGTGTTCGAACCTCATCGCGCCGATGGATAAAGGCTGATGGCCAATTCCTGCCTACGGTAGGTGGTGGCTGGCTACCGCGAGCAGCAAGAAGGATACTAGCCATTTCTCGTACAGCAGCTGGCCTAGGGGCTGCTCCGCGTGTATCCATAGAGATAATCCAATCAACAAGCGAATCCTCTTCGTATTGAGTCAATTTATGGCCGGTAGGGCGCGAATCAACGCGTGAAACCACCCCTCTTGCGCGGTCGATAAGCGTTGATCTAGGTATCTCGTATAGGCTAGCTGCTGCGCGAAGAGATTTGATACGGCCATTTTGAGGTCCATTAAAGGACAATAAGATCTTGCCCTCCTGGTTGGCCAAATCCTGCGAAGATGCAGATCGAATTGGTGGCATGGTAGACGGTTGAAGATAATGTGTAGGTATGAAGACGGGATTTTGAAGAGGGTGGCCGAGACGGCCGGGAATTACGTAACGAAGTGCCGAAACGAGGCGGTGTGCCGGAACTTCGTATAGATAGATACCTTTATCACAGCGGGAGCAGCAAGTAAGTGTGAAGGGCTGTAGCAGAATTGATTCAATTGTACTAGGCCAACATGCTGTTTTCAACAATCTTAAGGAAGGAAAGAAAGAAAGAAGAAAGTATAGGAGTCGGTCGCGGTCCTCAATAGCGTCGATCTTATCTCGGGTAGGATCCACTAGGACCTCGCTCAGACCCCTTCTAACAAGGCGGTATCCGGAAGGCCATAGCATATGGTCAACCACCGGGCTCTGGCCCGTCACAGTAACAATATCAACATTCCGTATACTGATAGATCATGGATAATGATCTACCTCTCCAATTGAGTCATATGTACTTCAAAGTTAGTAATACAGCAAAATGATCATAGGTGACCGTACGAACAAACATTAAATAGAGTCGAATTTGACATTGCGGAACTATAATAATTTCTCGCTCGAGCCCCACAGGGGTCGAGAATGTCTGATTTTAAGAAGGAATATAATTTCAAATCAATGCTATTGAGTCAAGTCCTTATATTGATGGTCATAATATTGATGTTTTCCTTTCATGCTGTCTGAGAGCTTTGGCTCTGAACTTTGATCCGTGGTTCTTAACGCGACCGCACTGGTGCGCGTCCGTTA